TGTATAATTGGTCAGTAGTTTTGCACATAGCTGCTTCATAGTGGCTTCAATGTGGCTAAGCACAGTGTAGGATTGTGCCTTTCTCCTCATCACTGAACTGGGCAAATAGAAAGCCTGCACTGGTGAAAAAGACAGCAAAGCTTGAATCTAGCATAGGCATAGAAATTTTAGAAGTTGCTTTAGGTGGAATTCAAGTTAGGATATCCACCTGGTTTATGAACCACTGGCCAGCTCTTGATTCTCAGCTGTAATAACCTGGAAAGAAAAGAAAATCCATAGCCATGAAAATTATTTTCTGTAGCAACATGAGGTCAAATTGAAGGCTTGGTTAGTCAAATTTCGAAATCAATGAAGGCACCATCGAATCTGGTGGCACCCAAGCATGTCACTCAGTAGGCACTCACCTACCCTGTACTGGTGAACTCACTCAATGATATTGTGAGCAAGTTGAAGTTTACAGTTGGGAGCATACCTAGGCCATGCAGTTATAAGGGATTCAAACTAAATTTCACCGTATCACAAAGCATTTGGTCCATTGAGGCATATTGCAGCATGTGTAATGTGTTTAATCATGCATTATGTTGTGCTGTGGTGGGTTGTAACACAAGTGCATTGTCAAGGTTCATTGGGGTGCCATGCAACATAAATGGCACATCAGCATACCTATGAGTTTTATCTTGGTGCACAGTGTGAGGGGTGAGGTACATTTGGGTACACGTTGGCTAGAGGGGTAATCCAGAATGTACAGTGAGTGGAGTAAGTGAGGTAAATTTGGGGAGTGTGTACTGAAAGTGGTGAGGTAAACTAAGCCCTGGTTCACACCGGTGAGAATTGTAATGCGATTTGACTGTTTCAAATTGCATGACAAATCGCACATATTGTCGGCAATGGAACCATTTAAATCTGTGCGACTCTGACTTTGTGGTGCCACACCAATTTGAAAAAAAAGGTTCCTGCTCTATTTTTTAGACTTAGAGCAGATGTTAATATAATCAGCTCAAAACAACCTGATGCTGAGGTCTCTTGCTGTAATATGTTTATCAAGGTGTTATGTGTGTTTTCCGTTGAGTATTTGTTCCATTGTTAATTTAGTAATTTGAGTCACCTATTGTTTCTGTCTGTTGGCAAGACCTCCTGGAGGTTCCTACATGATGGGATTAGTCTTGTGTCAGCTCTACCTCATTATCTAATCAGTGTGGGATGTTTATCCTAAGGTGTAATTGCAATTATTGTTCATGTGAGGACTGCCACTATTTGTGAAGTGTATAAAAACCTGTATTTCTGTTCAGTAAACAGTTCTAGTTGAACCTAAGCTAGTGTCTTCTAGTCCTTGGATGCAATGTCCGGCTATAATACCTTGGTCCTGTGTCCCAGTGGCAAGGAATCAGTTCTCTGACAGAAGACCCAAACAGGGTGCCAGGTGGTCCATCATAGTAATGTTTAAGAAAAAAATATCTTGAAATACATGGTTCATTGCATGTATAATGACTGTATTACAGTATATTATATGAGGCACATAGAACTTGGTGGACACAAGGTATGTGTGGCCGGACAGATAAGGTTTTTTCTAAGACCTATCTCTTACTACGTTGTTCTGAACTGTTAAGTAACCCCCTACTCTGCATCAGTGTACATATAAATGTAGTGGGGGTCTTAACACATATCATCTGTGTATTACGGGGGTGGCCAAGAGAAGAGGGAAAGGTTAGAATTATGCTACGAGCAGGAACTTCTACAAATGCCACTACACATACATCTGATATCACAACTTTCCAGACGGGTCTTAGAAACTCTCGGGCCACACTCTGCTGTTCATGTGACCATTCTGCTTGTGTTTTATCTTTGCCATTGACACAACTGGGCCTACAGGTTATTAATTTCAACTACTGCCTCTCTAGCTTGATCCCAGCTGCTCCACTAAGGACTAAGACACACCACACATGCTGACAAGATTTTCTGTCTTGACCAGGGGAAATCCATCAATCAAAGAGACCAACAACCCTCAACATATATATACATATTCAGACCCCCTTTACGTTTTTTCAATTTTGTTTTGTTGCAGCCTGATACTACAGTTGTTTAAATTCATTTTTTTTTTTTTGATGAATACACTTAGTGCCCCATATTAAAAAAGTGGAAACAGAATTTTAGAAATGTCTGTGAATTTATTATAAAGAAACAACTGAAAGATTACAGGTACTTAAGTATTCAGACCCTTCACTCAGTACTTTGTTGAAGCAGCTTTGGCAGCAATTACAGCCTTGAGTCTTTTTCAGTATGACGCAACTAGTTTTGTTTTCACTTTGCCAGTATGGGGTAGTAAGTGTAGATTAATGAGAAAAAACATGAATTTAAACAGCTGTAGTATCGGGCTGCAGCATAACAACTGAAAAAAATGAAGGGGGTCTAAATTTATGAATTCACTATATATATATATATATATATATATATATATATATATAATATATAACACACACAGTATTTCACAGAAGTGAGTACACCCCTCACATTTTTGTAAATATTTTATTATATCTTTTCATGTGACAACTCTGGAGAAATGACACTTTGCTACAATGTAAAGTAGTGAGTGTACAGCTTGCATAACAGTGTAAATTTGCTGTCCCCTCAAAATAACTCAACACACAGCCATTAATGTCTAAACTGCTGGCAACAAAAGTGAGTACACCGCTAAGTGAAAATGTACAAACTGGGTCCAAAGTGTCAATATTTTGTGTGGTCACCATTATTTTCCAGCACTACCTTAACCCTCTTGGGCATGGAGTTCACCAGAGCTTCACAGGTTGCCACTGGAGTCTTCTTCCACTCCTCCATGACAACATCACGGAGCTGGTGGATGTTATAGACCTTGTGCTCCTCCACCTTCCATTTGAGGATTCCCCACAGATGCTCAATAGGGTTTAGGTCTGGAGAAATGCTTGGCCAGTCCATCAACTTTACTCTCAGCTTCTTTAGCAAGGCAGTGGTCATCTTGGAGGTGTGTTTGGGGTCCTTATCGTGTTGGAATACTGCCCTGCGGACCAGTCTCCGAAGGAAGGGGATCATGCTCTGCTTCAGTATGTCACAGTACATGTTGGCATTCATGGCTCCCTCAATGAACTGTAGCTCTCCAGTGCCGGCAGCACTCATGCAGCACCAGACCATGACATTTCCACCACCATGCTTGACTGTAAGCAAGACACACTTGTCTTTGTACTCCTCACCTGGTTGCCGCCACAGATGCTTGACACTATCTGAACCAAATAAGTTTACCTTGGTCTCATCAGACCACAGGACATGGTTCCAGTAATCTATGTCCTTAGTCTGCTTGTCTTTAGCAAACCGTTTGCGGGCTCTCTTTTGCATCATCTTTAGAAGAGGCTTCCTTCTGGGACGACAGCCATAAAACCAATTTGATGCAGTATGCGGCGTATGGTTTGAGCACCGACAGGCTGACCCCCCAACCCTTCAACCTCTGCAGCAATGCTGGCAGCACTCATACGTCTATTTCCCAAAGACAACCTCTGGATATGACGCTGAGCACGTGCACTCAACTTCTTTAGTCGACCATGGTGAAGCCTGTTCTGAGTGGAACCTGTCCTGTTAAACCGCTGTATGGTCTTGGCCACCATGTTGCAGCTCAGTTTAGGGTCTTGGCAATCTTCTTATAGCCTAGGCCATCTTTGTGTAGAGCACCAATTCTCTTTTTCAGATCCTCAGAGAGTTCTTTGCCATGAGGTGCCATATTGAACTTCCAGTGATCAGTATGAGAGAGTGAGAGCAATAACACCAAATATAACACACCTGCTCCCCATTCACATCTGAAACCTTGTAACACTAACAAATCACATGACACCGAGGAGGGAAAATGGCTAATTGGACACAATTTGGACACTTTCACGTAGGGGTGTACTCACTTTTGTTGCCAGCGGTGTAGACATTAATGGCTGTGTGTTGAGTTATTTTGAGGGGACAGCAAATTTACACTGTTATATAAGCTGTACAATCACTACTTTACATTGTAGCCAAGTGTCATTTCTTCAGTGTTGTCACATGAAAAGGTATAATAAAATATTTACACAAATGTGAGGGATGTGCTCACTTCTGTGAGATACTGTGTGTGTATTTATATATATGTATATATTATATATATATATATATATATATATATATATATACACACACACAGTGCCTTGAAAAAATTTTCAGACCCCTTGACATTTTTGCACATTTTGTCATGTTACAACCAAAAAACGTAACTGTATTTTATTGTGATGTTTTTGTGATAGACCAACACAGAGTGGCACGTACTTTATTTGTAAAATAATTTGAAAACCATTTATCATTTTCCTTCCACTTGTGCCACTTTTTTGTGTTTATCTATCACATAAAATTTCAATAAAATACATTTACATTTGTGGTAGTAACATGACAAAATGTGGAAAATTACAAGGGGTATGAATACTTTTTCAAGGAACTGTGTGTGTGTATGTATATGTATGTGTGTGTATATATATATATATATATATATATATATACACTATATTGCCAAAAGTATTGGGATGTAAGACTGTCCACAAGGTTTAGGAGTGTGTCTATGGGAAAGTTTGACCACGCTTTTAGAAGCACATTTGAGAGGTCAGGCACTGATGTCGGATGAGAAGGCCTGGCTCGCAGTCTCTGCTGTAATTCATCCCAAAAGTGTTCTATTGGGTGGAGGTCAGGACTCTGTGCAGGCCAGTCAGGTTTCTGCACCACAAACTCGCTCATCCACATCTTTTTGGACCTTGCATTGTGCACTGGTCCGCAGTCATGTTAGAACAGGAAGGGGCCATTCCCAAACTGTTCCCACAAAGTTGGGAGCATGAAATTATCCCAAAATGTCTTGGTATGCTGATGCCTTAACAGTTCCCTTCACTTGGACTAAGAGGCCAAGCCCAACCCCTGAAAAACAACCCCACACCATAATCTCCCCTTCATCAAACCTTATACTTGGCACAATGCATTCAGGCAAGTACCGTTCTCCCGGCAACCTCCAAACCCAGACACATCCATCATATTGCCAGACAGAGAAGCATGATTAATCACTCCAGAGAACACATCTCCACTGCCCTAGAGTCCAGTGGCAACATGCTTTACACCACTGCATCCGATGCTTTGCATTGCACTTGGCGATGAAAGGCTGGGATGCAGCTGCTCGGCCATGGAAACCCATTCCATGAAGCTCTCTATGCACTGTTGTTGTTCTAATCTGAAGGCCACATAAAGTTTGGAGGTTTTTAGCTATTGACTCTGCAGACAGTTGGCGACTTCTGCGCACTGTGCGCTTCAGCATGCACTGACCCCGCTCTGTCATTTTACGTGGCCTAGTACTTCATGGTTGAGTTGTTGTTCCCAGTTGCTTCCACTTTGTTACAATACCAGTGACAGTTGACCATGGAATAATTAGTAGCAAGGAAATTTCACGGATAGACTTATTGCACAGGTGGCAACCTATCACAGTAAAATGCTTGAATTCACTGAGCTCCTGAGAGCTACCCATTTCTTTCACAAATGTTTGTAGAAGCAATCTGAATACCTAGGTGCTTGATTTAATACATCTGTGGCCATGGAGGTGATTGGAACACCTGAATCTAATGATTTGGAGGGATGTCCCAATACTTTTGGCAATATAGTGTGTGTGTGTGTGTGTGTGTATATATATATATATATATATATATATATATATACATATATTATATTTTTTTCTTCTTTTTTTATTTTTTATAAATTGCAAAGATTTCAAAACAGACTTCTTTCACCTTGTCATTATGGGGTATTGTTTGTAGAATGTTGAGGAAAAAAATTAATTTAATCCATTTTGGAATAAGGCTGTAACATATCAAAATGTGGCAAAAGTTAAGCGCTGTGAATTCTTTCTGGATGCACTGTGTATATATTAAATTATATTCTGATGGACTGTTACATGGAAGTAAATGTGAAACATCTTCCATCTATGCCTGCAGAAAAAAGTCATCATGACAACAAGAAATTTATGACTAGAATTCCTAATAGCCTTTTACAAAGGAAGTAAGTTATGTTCTGCTTAGCTATTATTGGGTTTTATGATTTTATAGTACAGTGCTGTTTTACATACTTAGCAGAAAATTCAGATTTATGTGTATTAATGTCAATAAAGGTGTAATTACAAGCTGATGTTTTGTTCTAATACAAGCTGTTAATGTATTTCATAAGTGCAGTAATACAGTATATGATCTTACAAATAACATTATATTTTGGTAAAATGATGAATAAATCTGTATCATTTACAGAACATTAAAAAAGTAGATGGAAAGGCTTACTCAACATGTTCCCATGGCATGTGTAACAATGTTTTTATTCATTTTTATAAAAATCAATTTCACAGTACCGATTTCCTTATGTTATTGTGCTGTCACATATTCGCAAACACTCCATTTCTGTCCCTTCTTAGTGGGCATAGAGTGCACCAGCACTGATGTCAGGGCTGGGGCATTCCAAACTGTGCTCTCTGCTCAGTGCACTCCAGATATATAGCCCATCGGAAATGCATTATGACATGACCTATCAGATTCTTCCATAATTAGATGATTAAAGTGGTACTAAACCTAGAACAAAACATGTAATGTATTGCAGCTTACCGTTCATTAGCTGCGGTGGCTGCATTCGTTTTCTTTTTTAGTTTCTTCCATCTCTTTTTACCAAGAAGATTTGACCAGTAACACACCTCCTATATTAAAGTGCCTACACTCTGGATGAATGAGCAACAGAGACACCTTGGACAGCAGCATTGTTAAGGGAGTGTTACACACACTAACAGATTTAAATACACTAAACCATCTGAAGAAAACCACCAGCTAACAATTTCTAAGCACTTACAGCAAACAGTTTTGTTCCTTTTGGGGCAAAGTTTTTGCATAAAAAAATAAATGCAGACAGTTGTAAGCATCCCTGTTAGTGGTAAATGGGTTGTCTCATCCCTGTAATTGCTACATCTGCAGGGCAGCTTGTTCTGTTGAAAAACAAAAGGCTTACTGGTAGGATCACCAGGTGAAAACAAAGGAAAGAAAACCTAAAAAAAGAAACAAATGCAGCCCTAACATCCAAGTATTGGTAAGCTGCAAAATAATAAATGTTTGCTTTTGTGTTTAATACTGCTTTAAACTTCCGGGTGCCAACATTTCTAATACATTCTCTATTTGAAAAGATGGTGCTTTTAATTGATTTCATCTTTGTGCATACTCTTATGTTTGGTCATTAAAATGGTATAATTTACTTTTTTAATGGTAATAGTTCTCTTAATTATTAAAATATTTTAACAAGCAGGTAATAGCATTGATGACATCCTGGCACAAGGCAAGTTTCCCCTATCACAAGATCCTGCTCTGGAATTGGGTTTTCCTATCCAGTACTGAGACTTGCCAACCTTTGTGCAAAGGCTAACAATGCAAATTCGCAGATTTTGGCAAATTTATTCAGAGTCAGTAACACTCATATATTTTTTTTGTTTTACTGCCTGGAGTTTCTTCTGAACTTGTCGGTCAGGTCACCTGGTCACTGACAAACTTGACATTGTAGATTGTACAAAAGTAGAAAATGTAGAACATTTTTTCAGACATAATTTTTGTTGATCAGGAGCTGATCCTGCTTGAAATACTCCTTTTCTGCCCAGTCATTTCTTTTCTAAACTTGTTTTTATATGTTTGATTTTTTTTTTTTTTTTTGTACTTCATCACCTCTGTGCCTGTCACGCCTACCCCTAGCGTTGGTGGTCAGGCACTAAAGATGACTGCTGTGTTCTTCGTCTATAGCAGCCCCCTTTCCCATAAGGCAAGCAGGCCCACTGGTACTCAGCTGCCCCCAGGTCTTATACACAATGCTATAGTGCCTGGCAACCATGTTGGGGATGGAGCGAACTAAGCACAGTGAAACAGTACTTGCAGTTGGCAGATAGGCAGAGTGGTCTGGTGACAGTCCAATGTTCAGGGCAGGCAGCGTTCAAAGACTAGTCTGAATTTGTTCATGTATTATTGCATGTGGAAATAATGCACTGTTAATTGGGCAATTATGTGGCAAATGAGGTTTAACGTGGATAGATGTAAAGTTCTGCACTTGGGGGCTAAGAATATGCATGCATCATACATACCAGGGGGGTACAACTGGGGGAATCAATGGTGGAGAAAGATCTGGGAGTTCTGGTAGATCACAAGCTTAAAAAATGGCATGAAATGGCAAGCTGTGGTTTCTAAAGCGAGCAAAATCCTCTCTTGTATTAAAAGAGGTATAGACTCCAGAGAGAGAGATATCATATTACTCCTGTACAAATCATTACTAATACGTCATCTGGAATATGCAGTTCAGTTTTGGGCACCAATTCACGAAAAGAACATTGGGGAACTGGAGAGAGTACAGAGAAGGGCAACAAAACTGATAAGAGGCATGGAGGAGCTCAGCTATGAGGAAAGATTAGAGGAACTGTATTTATTCTCTCTTGAGAAGAGGAGATTAAGGGGAGATATGATCAACCTGTATACGTACATCAGTGATTCATATAGTGAACTCGGTGTAGAGCTATTCACCCTGAGGTCATCACAGAGGACAAGGGGGCACTCTTTATGTCTGTAGGAAAAGAGATTTAATCTCCAAATACGGAAAGGTTTCTTCACAGTGAGAGTTGTGAAAATGTGGAATAGACTCCCTCAAGAGTTGGTTTGGGCCAGCTCAGTGGATTGCTTTAAAAAAGGCCTGGATTCTTTCTTAGATACACAGAATATAACTGGATACTAACATTTATAGGTAAAGTTGATCCAGGGCAGGGGTGGAGTGACCATTTGGAAACTCGGGCACTGTCCGAGGGCCCGGGGTCAGTAGGGGGCCCTATGAGATGCCCCTGGTACCTTTTTCATAGGCTTTTTTGAGTTTGGGCAAGGACACAGGGGCCCCATGATCCCATATTGCCTGGGGGTCCCATGAGTTGTCAGTCCGCCCCTGATCCAGGGAATATTCGATTGCCTCTCGGGGGATCATGAAGGATGTTTTTCCCCCTGCAGGAGCAAATTGGATCATGCCTTGTTGTTTTTTTTTTTTGCCTTCCTCTGGATCAATGGTGGGTATAGGATTATAATTTTTTTTTTTGGTTGAACTGGATGGAATTTGTCTTTTTTCAGCCACACTAAATATGTAAGCTACCATTGCTGTTTTCCCCACACTTTTTATCTTTCACATATGGCATATACTATACACGGGTCACAATCAAAATGGGCTACCTGGTACATTCCACTGAAATAAATTCTAAATGTGTTTTATAATTTAAACGTAATGAAATGCTTGTCAATATAACTGTCAGCCTTACATGTAAAACTCTAATTTATCAACGACTATACAGGAACAGTACAATGAAATTGTAATATATGTAGCCATCTGTAGAACAAACTGGGTGTCATGTGTACTCTGCCGATACTTAGGCCTTACATCAATGTAATTGTACTTGCAGAATAAACGGAGAGATGTGAGTCATAGAATAAAATAGCTGTGTAATGTGTTTTTTCAAGGTAAGTTGGCCTGCATTATTTATTAAGTGGCAGACCTCAAGTACATTTATATTTAGATTTAAGCTCCTCAGTTCAGGAGAACACTGCATCTTCACACTGTAACCTATTGCTAACAACCCTTAGAACAAATGTAAAATTACTTTTTATAGATGTAAACTGATGTAATAAGCAATTATTTGGGCTGTTTAATGGGCTTATAAAAATTCAATAAATAAATAAATAGTTAAAATAAATAAAATAAAACAACAGCATTTGCTGCAAAACTTACCTTAAACAGAGAGCTGCCTGTTAAAGTGTTTGTGAAGCTAGAAGGTTTTAACTTAAAAAGGCTAAAAAAAATTCTGTGTTCTCCTCTACCATAGCACCTTGCTAGGGGAGTACTCAGCAGGGAATGGGGGGAGCAGGAGTGCTGGCAGGGAACCTGAGAAAAGCAGGATTGGGGCTGTTCTGTGCAAAACCGTTGCACAGAGCAGGTAAGTATAACATATTTGCTATTTAAAAAATTAGAAACTAGGTTTACAATTACTTTAAAGCAGTGTGAGAGAGTACCTTGTTATGGTAAAGTGAGCGAGCATCCTGGAAAGTGAGGTGTGAGGGACCCCTTGTTAGGAAGAAAGGTGTGAGAAAGCAACCTATTAATGTATGTGCACATATATGTGGCTGCGGCAGTGCGTGCAAATAGCATACGTTCCTGCACCTGCATGCATCCATACAAAAGGCTGTTCTGCACAGGAAACGTGACCATTAACTCTTAATAGCACCCCCATGCACTGAAAAACACAGTGCTGTGTCCCTCACATGGAAATCGCATGGTACATTAACATTCAAATGAATGAGCTGCCGTGCCTGCGCAAACACAGCAAGAAGAACCGCATAGATGTGAACCGGGCCTAAATACAATGTGAGAGAACATTCTGTTAGAGCAGTATGAAGGAGAACCCTGTTTAAAGCAATGTGAGAGAGCACCCTGTTAGATTAGTGTGAGGGAGCACCCTGTTAGATTAGTGTGAGGGAGCACCCTGTTAGATTAGTGTGAGGGAGCACCCTGTTAGATTAGTGTGAGGGAGCGCCCTGTTAGATTAGTGTGAGGGAGCACCCTGTTAGATTAGTGTGAGGGA